TACGTGTTTGGTGAAAAAGTTGGCTGATAAGCCTGATAAGCCGAAAAACAGTGGTTCCAAACGGCCTCTAAGTTGAAATGATCATTCAAACATAGCAAAAAACTGTTTGAATCATCACTTCAGTTCAGAATGAGCTGAAATTTGAGACATGGTCAATTGTAGCTTATTTCTGTTTTTACAATAATCTTATTTATTAATGATAAAAGTAACACGAGATAAAGCAATACAATAACTCGAGGCTACACTAGGATGAAACATAGAACCGGGTGGCCTCCAAGGACCAAACAATTTCGCTAATTCTACAACTATGTAGTCTAATCTAACAACACTGTTAAACCTGCTACTCAATTGGTAATTAAAAAAAAAAGTTGTCCAAACTAAAAAAGAAACAAATTAAATCAAGAATCATGACTTCACAAACTACTACAAAAAGAGAATTGATTTGATCAGCAACTAACAAATAAAACTCAATTGAACAAAATTGGGCTGAAAAATCGATTTGATCAATCACTAAAAAAGAGATCCAGTTGAGCGTGAGTTTCTCCCCCGAGTGATACGATGGTTGACGAGGAGAACGAGTAACTGGAGCCTCATAAAGACTAAATCTGGTTGAACGATTTGTGCCACATTCAAATCCTATCTTGTTTCTATTAAAATGTTATTTTTAATGTACTTTTGCATTGCCGTGTCGCTATTTGAGATATACTTGTATAGCCAAACTAGTCTACGTGTATGTGGTAGCATTTTCAGTTTCATAAGCTTTTATCCAATTCAAGATATTAATCTCTAAATCACACAATAGATTTTGGCTTCAGTTCATCTTCTAAACATACCATAAATTTGGTATGTACCAAACATGAAACATAGCATCATGAAAAATCTGCGTTTATCGAAATTTTTATATACCAACATTTGTTGTACTACTAGTATACCTTAATAACCGGCCTCATCATTATATCAACACGCACTTTGAACTAAAATACAAGGTCATATGACTCGTATCCAAATTCCAGCAACCCCATATACGGAGTATATATCACCATAAAACACCATTATCAAAGAACAAAAAATTATTCTTTTAACTCATTAGAAACACAATATCATCACAAGAATTAAGGAATTGCCGAATTGGTTGTCCATATCGTTTATTTGAATCATTTTTAAATTTCTTTTGTTAGATAGTACGGGCTAGTGTTTTTTCTATTTATATACGGAGTAGTATATTACAGTATTTGAAATGCTTTTAGAGAATAGTGTTGCTTTTAGTATGTGGTTGCTTGAAATGTTGGAACATAATTATCAAATTTCTTGTTCAAAATTGGGATTTTGGTCACAAACAGGCCAGTGTTAATATTTTATACGGAGTATATGTTTTATTTATTATAGACTTTAATATCTCTAATAACACCGACCTTATATATTCCTATATTCCATATCTAAGAATTTGATGCATTAATTTATCAGTATGATTGATAATTAATATATTGATACTATCTAAATTTGAGGTTTGGCACACGTGTAAAATTTCAATAGAGTAAAGTATTGGGTGAAATATAATAATTATACATATTTTATATATTAAAAGTTACTCTATTTTATGTACTGTATAATGTAACATAATGAATGAGATATGGTATATGAGATTAAAAAAAAGACAAAATTATCGAAACATGAGTAAAAATATTGTGAAATCCTAAAACAGAAGTATCGCGTTTTTATCTTCTACATAAAAATAACTTATTTCCATCATGAAAATTTAGTGTAAATTATTTTAAATATGGGTGTCTGGCCCATAGCGTTTTTATTTCAAAATTTGATGGAGTATTACTTTTAGAGTTGATTTTACGTGTGGTCTTGTTAATTCTGCATTTAGTTCACGTCGTTTTTATGTCAGCTTTTGATATTTAATTAATGTTTCTTGACCATTCATCATGAGTAATTTGAGCCTAAGAAAAAACTAGGTTGAATAATTTGTGTAAATAATCTAATCTAGCTACAAAGAACACCCTCACAAAAGTTTGTCAAAAAAATCAACCTTGAAACTCCTCAAATGGACTTGTCTGTACGGGACATCTTGTCTGGCGCGCCGGATCATATTAATTTCATATACTCTAATACTCCGTAAAAGATATCCCTCAACCCTCATATCCGTAGACTGAGCCACAACGACAGAGCTACATACGAAACACGCCTGGATGACTTCCTACCTTCCACATAGAAATCAAGAATTAAAAATTGATAGTATTATTGATAGTTTTGCTTCTAAACTAGAATGCAATTGATACCTGTATGTGGACAAAACATTTACTTGTGTAACAATTTTTTGTTTTAGCAATGAAACTTTTTAATACATTTTAAGTTCTTACATCATATATAATCAAGGGCCTATTTTTTGTCTTTTGTCTCGGGCCTATAAATTGTCAGGGCCGACCCTGAGGAAAAGTGAGTGTATTTGGGAGTGAGTTTTTGGAAAGAAGGAGAAGACATGTGATGGTTGACAATCCCTATTTGTGTTTGAGAGTTTAGAAATTATGGAGGGGTGATTTTGGAAGGTTTTGTGATCCTCTAAATCCCCCTCAAATGCTCAACTTTTAAGTTCCTACCAAATGGGAGATTTTGAAGGATAACTATTTAAATAATAATTTAAGCTAAATTTAAAGTAAATATGATTTCAACTATTTGAATTCACCGATACTCGAAATTGATTTTTATTATAATTATTTCTCAAACTCTATTTTTTCAATTTACTACTCCCAAATAAAGAAAAAGTATTTTCTCACGTTCTCCTCCCATTCCCCCAATAACTTACCTTCAGGGCATGTTTGGTTCGTGATAATCATCTATGCAGGCCAAAATGCGATGTCCAGAATGTGAAATATTCGTGTTTGATTCGCGAGTGTGATTTCTTGGGGGGAATGTTACATTCCCAAAAGGAGAAGAAAGTAATATGATGTCCCATAATCTCAATCCCACTTAACTCTTAGGTTATCTTACATTTCTTGATGGTAATTAATTTTATTCCAAAAATACCCATTCTCATTTAATCATAATGGTTTAAATAGCATTTTTTATTTATTTATTTTTTCTTAATCCATCCATATTGGAATTTTTTAAATGAACCCATCCGTACTGATTAAAAAATACAGCATGTATACGTTAGAATTTGATTTATTAAATATTAATTGCCTTTAATATTAATAAGAATAAAACATAACATACGATATTTCCTTAGATAGAGGTCAATCTCTAATCTTCTACAAATAAGATCAAACACTAACCCCCTACTTCCCTTGGATCACTGTACTAGGTCGTCTGTTGGTGGTGGAGAGTCCGATAGTAATAATATTTGTTTTATCTTAAGAGAAAATATTTCAAGGACATTGAAGTAATTCACCACATCTGCGATATAAGATATTGTTTAATCAAACAAATTAATGTCAAATTCATTTAATCTTAACCACACATAAATGTAATACAAATCATTTAATCAAATAAACTAATGTCACATTACTTTGATCTTAATCAAACACAAATGTGATACAAATTGAATAAAATCTCATTAATCTAACATGACCAGCAAGCTAACATTCACATAATAATCCGTCATTTCTTGAACCAAACGACCCTTCAAAGTCCAATAATGATTTGTCTAGACGCCATTGTACACGACATTTTACACGACATTGTACAAACAATTTGATCGGCGAGTTGTGAAGAAACCCGCTTTCGTACAGACAAAAAAATGTTTCTGCCACAAACAATATTTTTTTTATTTGTGCAAAAATTTATTTTATCCACAAAACATCAATCAAATTGTTTGTACACAAACGATTTGAATAGTGTACATATACTCCCTCCGTCCCTAAATAAGCTTCCAACTTTCCCTTTTCGTCCGTCCCAATTAAAACTTCCACTTTTCCTTTTTGGTTCACAATATTTCTAACACATTTCTCTCTCCCCTGCACAACTCTCCACCACACAATACCCACTATCTTAAACTGCATGCCCAACCTATTTGGAAGTTTTATTAGGGACGGAGGTAGTAGCATTTTCCCTTCAAAGTCTCCCCTCTCCCCTCTTGTGAAATGTGAACCCCAAACTAGAGTTGGACTCGGGTCGGGTCCGGGTCGGGCCTAGGCCCGACCGGGCTTAGGCCCGACCGGGCTTTTGATGTTTGGGGTGAAGGCCCGGGACTGGCCCCGGTTACCATCGGGTTCGGGCTGTGCCCATGTTAATTTTTTTTTCTTTTCTAATTAACCCCCCCACCCCCACCCCCCCCCCCCAAAACACTAAGCCCAACTCAGGAAAAAGCCCCAAAAAATGAAAAAAAAAAAAAAAGGAAGACCCGAACCGGGGCCGGGACCGGCCGGGCCGGTTCTAAAGAGTGGGCTGAACCGAGACCGCCCCACCCTAACCCCCGGGACCGGGTCTAGGCCCAGAACCATACCCGGTTCACCGGGCCGGGCGGCCCGACCCGAGTCCAAGACTACCCCAAACATACCCAAAGGAGGTAAGGGTCAGATTGATACTCAAAGTTGCATAAAAAAGGTCAAATAAGTTCTTACTGTCCGGCCGTCGCCATTTGGGACGGTTCCCGGTGGAATTTTTTGATGAATTTTTTTGAGCATCTAGTTTACTCATACCAAATTTCAGCTAAAACTTCTATCGGGAAGCCATTCAAATGAATTCTTGAAGATAACAACGCTTTTAACTGCACAATTATCTTCAAGAATTCATTTGAATGCCTTACCGATTGAATTTTTAGTTGAAATTCGGTATGAGTAAACTAGACTTAATGAATAAGATGCTCAAAAAAATTTGTCAAAAAATTCCATCGAGAACCACCTCAAATGACGATGGCTGGACAGAGCCTCATACATAAGGACTTATTTGACCCTTTAACTAAACTGCAAAAGACAAAAAAAGGCAAAAGCGGGCAAAAGTTCCCATAGTGGTGGCAATTCTGAAATTCTCGACATCTCGAAGACCATTTCTGTAGTGTTATCTTCTTGATTAATCTTAGCGCATTATAGCATATGCTCCCCTACCAACCACTCCACTTCATCCTCTGAAAGAGCTGCAGAAAAAAGAAAGAAAGAATAGAATCCCCATCTCCTTCAAGTTCTCAGCAATAAAAAAAAAACTCTGAAACCCCTCCTCCTATTCCCTTGACAGTGACATAGCATCAGACTTAAGATACACCCTAAAGCTCCAGTCTTTTCCAACTCTTTAATCTCTGATACTTGTGCTTACCCAAAAGTAGTACCTACACCTGCTCTGTTTCTTGCAATGGAGAAAATTGTGTTTATGGTCAGCTGTGAGCTAAAGGCTTGTGGTATAGTGTAGCTTTCTCCAAAGGGTTTTCTGAGCTTCAATAACTCCCCAGAGCTTTACTGAAAAGCTCTAAGGCTCTTCCGTACCTTCCTTTTTGTCCCTCTCCCTCGTTTGGGAGCTTACTTTCTATCTCCTTTCTTTCTCGAGAATGGGTTGCCAGCGTATGGTTGTGAGGAACTTGGACCCGGAGAGGAAAAGGTCTGGTGGATTGAGAACCAAACAGGCGGGTCGAGGGTCTTGTAGGGGAAGTTAGACTATTGGGACTGCACTTGCCGGAAAAAAGAGCAATGATTCTTCGCCGGCGCTGACATCCATTCATTTTTTTATTTTCTAGTTTGTCTCCGGAATAAAAAAGAAGTTTCGTTCTTCATATATTTATATAATCATAGACTGCAAATTGCTATGGGGTACTTGCTGAAGGAAGTTTTGAAGATACTTTGTGGAGTCAATACATGGTCTTATGCTGTTTTTTGGAAACTTAGTTGCCAAAATCCCAAGTGAGCTCTCACATTAGTCGTTTCTTCCTTTCCTTCTCATTGCTAGATTGTGCACAGTACCTGTTTGTGCTAATGTCAAAACTGAATTTGTAATTATGGAAGGATATTCTTGATTATTTGATTAAGATATGGTTTGTCCGGTTGTAGATTTTAGGGATGTTTTTTTTGCTATTCAAGTAATCAGACCACTTTCTTTTTATGCTTTTGGAATGTTGGAATATTTTTAGAGAATCATAGTGGTAGGTGGAATATTTTAATCTGATAAAACCCTTTATTACGATTCCCTGTACATGAACATGCTCATTACTTATTCTGCCATTCTTGTATCTTTCTACATGTTCTTATCCACTTTTCCAGACAAAGCTCTTCTATCTCTGTTCTTATTATGTTCAACTATTTCACAGTTGTCTTGTACACATCAATCATGGATCTGTCACTTTTGATAAACTGTAGTGGGAAATATTCCCATTATTATACACAATGTCATATTTTCTCGTATTTTGATGATGTAGGGTTTTGGTTTGGGAAGATTGTTACTATGAACCTGTTATCTACTCTACCATCCAAGGTTTTATCCCTGGGAATATGAATACAGAACCTGCTATTCAAAACTGGAGTTCTTGCTGGTCCCCAAACAATGTTTCTCAAACAGGGGAGAAGGTTCAGCTTCTTGTAAACAAGATGATGGTAGAAAATCAGTTCAGTGCTGTAGGTGAAGGGTAGGGGTTTAACTTTAGCTTTACATTATGTGTTACAGACAATTTTCGTTCTATTACAAAGTTATTGAGAAGGGTGGCCTAAAAACGTCCCTTTCCTTTTTGCCTTTTGCTTCTCAGGCTTGTTGGAAGGGCTGCTGCTACTGGTTACCATCAATGGATTTTGTCAGAAGGTTATTGCAGAGAAGCACACCCAGTGGAGGTGCTTTACTTTCTTAATCCAAACTACAATTTCATCAGTTTTGTATTTTGTTGCCTGCAAATTTGAATGATTTCCTAAAATGATCGAAGAAATGCTTTCAATTTTGCCCTTCTGTGTACTTAGGTTCTGAAAGAGCTGTCTTTACAATTTTCAGCTGGCATGCAGGTATACACTATTTCAGACATTATTTTATTCTCACACAAATTCCTTTCTTAGTGAAGCCCATCAATATTCATTTTTACTCAACATGCAGACAGTAGCAGTTATTCCTGTTCTTCCTCGTGGTGTTGTTCAACTTGGTTCATCCAAAGTGGTAATTAAATTCCCCATTAAGTCATTTTGATTAAATACTTTCAGTCATTATCTTCATAGTATCTTGATGGTGATCAAGGATTACAATATCTTTACTATTGAGAATATCGGCAAAATTCAGTTAATGAGAAATGGTGAATATCTTGATATCAAAATGAGAAAGTTCTGTGGCAAAACTGCATTTTGCATATTTAATCGAGATAAGAAATTAAGGTTATCCATATTTCAGATATATCTTCCCGTACTTCTCTATAGTTCTTAGATTAAAATGTTTTAGTATTTCTCAAAAATTCATGACATTTTTTAGTTATCTCCAAAAGTCCATTGGAATTTCGGTACCCCTCTAATGAATGAGAATTCAAAATATAGAATATTGAAATTTCAATTGAAATATAAAATATATCAGAATATTGATCGTGTTGTGCTATTTTGTCTTCCAGGTTATAGAAAATCGTGGTGTTATGAATGATGTTAGAATGTTGATTGGTCAACTAGGATGGGCCCCACCGGGTTCATTGCGATCTGATGAACAGCATGTGATGAAGCAACCTCAGGTCCACCATAGGCAGACTTCTTCCCAAACCTCTGAATACTATGTCAATCTTCGTCAAAATCAAATGACAAAAGAAGTGACTTTGAATCCAAACATTTGGCAAAATCAACACTCTTTAAATGCTGACTCCATTCCCAGCCTAAATTCACATTCATGTATGAATGGAAGCAGTTCTGAGTTTGATGGGAATATGGGTATTGTAGAAAATGATCTGTTCCAAGAACTTGGCTCCGTGCTGACCCAAAATAATGAGAACCGGAGTTCCAATGGGCCCACCATGCTTGATTTCAGTTATGATACAAAAGATGAGTATGGGGTCCTGCAAAGTGGATTGCTGGACGATAATCATCAAGATCCATGTGTCCATTCGTCAGGGGATGATTTATTTGATATTCTTGGTGCTGATTTTAAAAACAAACTACTAAATAGAAGTTGGAATAATGGACAAGAAGGCCCAAACACAAAGGATATGGATCATGATGATGATTCTATTGATTATAATAATCTTGTAGACTTCGTCACCTCAACCCGTTCTACCAAACAGAGTTTGGATGATAACGTCTCTTGCCATACCACATTGACAACTATGAGCAGCTCTTCTGGCCCTAATGCTTCGTGTTCCTATGGCCGGGTTGGGGTGTCTACTCAAATGCAAGGGGAGTTGTTTGGCTGTCCTAAATCAAAATCAAGGGTAATGGCTTCTTCATTTGATTCGTCCAGCAAGGAAAGTAATCCTCAAACCAGTTCTATTTACGGGTCACAAGTCAGCTCATGGGTTGAACAGGCATGTGCCATGAAAAAAAATACTACTAGTGTCTCAACCGTTGGTTCTAAGAAACCCGATGAACTGACCAAACCAACCCGTAAGAGGCTCAAACCAGGAGAGAACCCTAGGCCTAGGCCTAAAGATCGCCAAATGATTCAAGATCGTGTGAAAGAATTGCGAGAAATTGTGCCAAATGGAGCCAAGGTAATGATTACTTTCTATGCCTTTCTCTTTCACATTCAAGTATATAATTTTCACCCCCTCGTACTTACCATATTTACGCTTTCATTGCTGATGTGGTTAACAGTGTAGCATTGATTCTCTTTTGGAACGCACTATCAAGCACATGCTTTTCTTACAGAGTGTAAAAAAACATGCGGACAAACTAAAGCAGACCGGAGAGTCAAAGGTTGCATATTACTTCCTTCTAGAGGGTGTTGTTAGTCATTTTATTTCCGGGCAATGCTATTATTTTGGATTGCTTATTAATTTTATTATGTTTTTTGGTGTAGATTATTGGCAAAGAAGGAGGTATACATCTAAAGGATAATTTTGAAGGAGGGGCAACATGGGCGTATGAAATTGGATCAGAGTCTACAATGTGTCCCATCATTGTTGAGGATATGAATCAGCCTGGTCAGATGCTTGTGGAGGTTAGTGTCTGTTGTGTTGAATAACAAAACTACACCTATCTATTTATTTATTTATTTATTTATTTATTTTATTAATGCTTACAACTGTATACTTTGTAATATGAATTCGGTATTTTTAATTATACTAGTAATTATTAATACTCTGTACAAAAAGGGGTTGCCCGGTGCACGGAAGCATCCCCCGAGGCGAGGGTCCGGGGAAGGGTCCCACACCACAAGGGTGTATAAGGGGCAAGCCTCCTCTATCATATTTTGACAAGAGTCCGCTCCTAAGATTTGAACCTGTGACCTCTCGGTCACAAAGCAACACTTTAACCGGTGTGCCATTGCTCCCCTTCAAGTATAACTATTATTGTGACTTCTATATTGTTATTTAAAATTTATGATATGACTTCTACATATGACTTACATGACTTAATATGTAGTTTTTTATAGTTGACCTCAACTCTTTTGGGACTAAGGCTTGGATGTTGTTGTTGATTATATGATTTACATAATTTTTAATTTTTATATATTTCAACTTTTGGCGTTCTGTACACCCCTGTTCCTGAGTTTCTGTTTGTTTTTCACAGATGCTATGTGAACAAAGCGGTTTCTTCTTGGAAATTGCTGAAATTATTCGAGGGTTAGGATTGACCATCTTAAAGGGGGTCATGGAAATGAAGAATGACAAAATTTGGGCACAGTTCGCTGTTGAGGTACCCCTTTAATCTGAAATTGCTTTTTAATATGCCCTTAAACATCCTACCTCCACCATAATATATTTATCTTTACTTATTCTGTTGTTGCAGGCTGACAAAGACATTACCAGGATGGAGATATTTATGTCTCTTGTAAATCTCTTTAAGCAAACAACCATAAGCTGTAATGATAATGAAGAATGAAGGCTCTTCTTTCCTCCAAACTGATTCAATTCCAGCTACCATTACTTGCACAGTTCCATCCACCAGCATCTGGAAATGTTAAGAGTGAGCCTTCGGTGGGCTTGCCATGACTAACACCACTCTGGATAGATTCATCTGGTGGTCCAAACGTTGTTTTTGTCTTCTTTGTATCTATATATTGCAATTCTGTGTGTTATTATGTTTCGGGGTGTAATACCAAACCTGACATGTAGCAGGTTCCAGGTTTTTCTTTCCCTTGCTGGTTAGCTAGCTAGCTTGGATTGATGTTGATTGCATAAAGTAGCTTTTTTCATTCAACTCCTTGAGGGCAGTGGTTTGTGTGAGTTGGGAGTACGAATGGGAAACTGTTAGTTTTTTCTTTCTTTCTTCTACATAAGCCTTCACCCATATAAATAGTGAAACGCATATGTTCTTTGCCTAAACTCACACCTATGTAATCATATATAAAGAATACTAAATGACAATCAAACAATAGGCCCTTAAATCCTATGGAGCCATTTACTAGGGGTTAGAACCCCATCGGTCACAGTTGACCAGTGTCGGGTGATGGCTATTGCTGCCAGTTCAGACTACGAGTTAAGTGAGCCATCACTTCGTAGTGGTGATGGGGGATGGCTCATTGCCGGAGTGGTGACGGTTTTGGAGGTAGCCTTTGACTCCATTGGTCAATGAGGTAGTGGTGATGCGTTGGGTGGAACTGGTTAGCAGTCAACGGCATTATGGCAGGTAGGCATGAACACGATGTTCGTGTTCTTAGACAGACTGGTTCTGAGAGTAACGTTAAGAGGGGAATTAGAACCTTAACTATGCAAATTAAGGCATGAACACGATGTTCTTGTTCTTAGACAGACTGGTTCTGAGAGTAACGTTAAGAGGGGAATTAGAACCTTAACTATGCAAATTAGTTTGAGGTCCAGTTCCAGCCTTCTAGGTAGGTAAAATACACCGTACAGCCGGCTGTACCGTGCGCACGGTACAGCCGGTCTTTTTTAGGATTTCTGCGCTTCTTCGATCTTCTTCCCTGCTTCTCGCCTGGCTTCTCCGATCTCCGTCCCTGCTTCGTCTTGCTTCTGCGGTGCTTGCGAAGAACTTCAAGCTCCAAGCAGGCAACTCCTCTGACAGCTCTCTTCTTCTCAAGCTCTCTTCTCCTCAAGCTCTCCTCTCGCCACTCTCTTCTCCTCTAGCAGAGCTACGCAAGAGACGGCGGCTCTAGGTGATTTCTTTGTTGGTCGGGAAGAAGTATGCAGGGAAGACAAATTGGAAGATGATTTAGGAGATTTGAGTTCATATTTCTTGATGACGAATCTGAAATGAGTTTATATTTAACTCAAATGAGTATAAGCTTAAAAAGAATGAACATACACAAATAAATATCGAGCATATTAAAAATGAGTTTTATGTAAAACTCAAATGAGTATACAACAAAAAATGAATGAGCATACACAAATGATCTTTTGAACTTTTTATACTCATTTTGTGATTTATGTATGCTCATTTGGTACCTCTTTATACTCGTTTCAAACGTATCATATTAATGTTAAACTCAAATGAGTATAAGGTCAAAATGAATGAGCATACACAAATGGACTTTTAAATCTTTTGATACTCATTTTGTAAGTTACATATGCTCATTTGGTGTTATTTTATGCTCATTTAAAAAGAACAGACTCAATGTTCATCACAATCGCATAATGAAAATCATTGGCGATACTTTTCAAGTTGATGCTCAATAAAAATGTCTTGATGTTCAATTAAAAGTACTTATGATTTTCATATCAATTCTCATTTTATAAGTTATGTATGCTCAACGGGTATTCATGTTATGCTCATTTGTAATATGACATAACAATGTATATTTCAAAAGTATCATATTGCATTAAATTCGCATACTGGAGTTCATAAGAGTTGATTATAGATATAATTTAATAAGTTTTTATAAAGGAAAAAATAAGGAAAAGAAAGTAAATTCAAAAGAAAGTAAATTCGAAGAGATGAAGCAGAGATCACGATGCTCAATGTTATGCTTCTAATGCTCAACAAAATATGTCACTTGCTCACTAGGCGTGGTTTAATACTCATTTAGTACGAGACGCGAATTTAATATAAATTACAAAAATGCCACCGGCTGTACGGTGAGCACCGTACAGCCGGTGGTACTATATACGCTTCCTTCCAGGTATATCAGCATTGGGGTCTTTATACTGAAAAAACGTGTTTTTGGATTAGTTTTTATACCCCCAAAACCTGGCCCAATTTGGAAAATGAAACTGGCTCCACTGTTAGTAGAATTGATTGGCTGGGAGGAACTTGGTTCGATACCAGTAATTGGGTTCGTTTTGAGCTGTTTTGATTTGGAAATTGGGATTGTTTTATTCACTTTGAAAGCTCATATATTTGCAAAGGTAAAAATTTAAAACAAGTACTCCGGGGAAAATAGATATATCAGTGATGATCTATAATAAAAAAAAGTGCTTCAAGAATTATGTGACTTTGCGCTCATTTGAATCTATAATCGGTAAGAGCGTTATTATCAGTACTGAATTTTTATTCTACCACATCTTTTGATATCAACAGGATAGGACCTGGTAAGCTATTGTTATTAATACATGGAAACATCGAATCTTTTTCTTTCCACAATTCTAATATAGGAATTTAATTCTAATACATGAAACATTAACCCTTACAAATGTTATGTCAATACAAGAATTATATCAAACTCTTCAATTTTCTCACTTACATAGAAATGCTAGAGATAAAAGTCGATATTCAGAAAGAGATATAATGTCTGCCCGGTACTATTAAACCAAAACGATTTCACGGGCAAATAACATTTGAGACTCTGAGTTCTGGTCCATTTAAGTCCTCGAAATCAAAACCGGTCTATCTCTAGCTAGCCGCAAGTATGAAATTTTTAGTACTATTATTAGTTCCCGAACCGTATCAAATATACTACGTATTACGTAGTACTTGGGCATGTTTCAGTTCTATTACTTGTGTATTAATGCATGTGACATTATCCTTCTTTTAAATGTACATTCGCTCCTTTAGTGGATAAGATCGATGGACAAGAGAGATGACATGGGTAAGAAAGCAATCAATTTAGGCTTTATTAAGAAAGTTATCCACATTTACTCTCTTCTCTTTTTTTTTTGGATGAAATGTAAATATATATTAACACCCAGAAAAACTTTACATCATATAGCTAAGATCTCCTAAAACCCCCCCCAACCCCACATAATGTGGGGTGAAGAGAGGTTTTTCTTCGATCTTATCTATGGAAATCACCAAGTAAACTTGGCCCATCAAAATAATCAAAACATAGCGGTGCTGCCAAATTGCACACACCTATCGGAGGCTACAAAAAATCCAAATAAAAACGGGGTGCCGCAAGGTACATACACCCACATCAAAAATCACGATATCCATAATCTCCATATCATGCTATCCAAGTTCAGATTTTCACCAGATCATGCGGGTAAATACTGTAAAGTATTTTATACACCACATGCTTGATCTTGGCTACCACATCATCTTCAGTCTTCATGCCTTCATCAAATCTTGCGTTATTCCTTGCTTGCCAGATATGGTAAACCGTCGAACAAAAAGCAAGCCGTCCTGCCTTGGCCTTCAACGTTGATCCCTTGCGTTTCTTAGAAATCCATTTTATTGCACTAAGGAGTGTATTCATCTGATTCCCAAATCCGACCCATGCCCTAATTTTGTCCCAAACTCTGCACGCAAAAGGGCAACAAAAAAAGAGGTGTGGAATTGTTTCCAATCCACCCTTGCACAGATCACATCTATTAACAATATAAAGGTATCCGAGACTGTCCTGTGTAGGAAGTCTGTTCCTCAAAGCCAACCATACATTAAAAGAGAACTTCGGAGGGATGTAGGATTTCCAAATGAAGGTCATCGGGGTCCTAGGGGTCCCTCTTACTCTTAAAAGTTCATATATTTTTCCCGACACCAACTTATCATTGATGCATCTCGCATTTAAACCTAGTACGGTGTCATTTAAGTTATTAAAACATCCTCGCAGTCTATCTCGGATGAGACCCAACCTCTTCATTAGTTGAGAGTCTCGGCTATGTGGGACAAAGTCCCACACATTTTTATCCCGAAGATACACTCCATTAATCCACCGAACCCACAGGGTATCCTTTTTCCTATGAACATCCCATAGTGTGCGGGCCAAAAGACTATCATTCCAATCTTTGGCATTGTGGATGCCAAGTCCACCTTCCTCCTTTGGGAGACAGATGTCATCCCACGAGACCTTGGAGTATTTCCCACCCCATAGGAAAATTCTATAAATCGATACTATCCTATCCAATATGGTTCGAGGAACCGGGAAAATTTGGAGCCAAAAAGATTGAACCCCTTGAATTACCGAGCGGATTAGTTCAATTTTCCCGGCATAGGACAGTGTTTTTGTATTCCAAGCTTTTAAAAAATCATTGACCGTATCAAGTAATGGTGCATATTGTGCAACCGAAATCCTAAGTGGAGCAAGAGGTATTCCAAGGTATCTTACCGGAAATACGCCTTGTCTATAATCAACAATATCCAAAATGTTTTGAAGTTCTTGGTCCCTCACCCCACCCACGAAAATATTAGATTTTTCGTGGTTTACCCTAAGGCCCGATACGTCCCCAAAGTCCTTCAGAGCGTTGACCAATATTTCCACTGAATACGTGTCACCTCTAGAAAAAAGCATAAGATCATCCGCATAGGCCAAATGGGTAATACCCAAGGAAGAGCATTGGGGGTGGAATTTAAAATTATTTCCCTTGGTTCTCAACATGAGTAACCGAGAGAAATAATCAAGACACAAAACAAAGAGCAACGGGGACATAGGGTCTCCCTGCCGTATTCCTCTTTTTCCTTTAAAGAATCCAAACAGTGATCCATTTAAGGAGACCGAGAACGAGGACGTCGAGACACATTCCATTATCCATCCAACAAATCGAGTTGGGAGGCCCAAGCCCAATAAGACTTTTTCAAGGAAATCCCATGATATCGTGTCGTAAGCCTTGCGCAAATCCACCATAATCATACATCTTGGCGAAATTCGCTTCCTATTGTATCCTCTAACAAGTTCCTGGGCTAGGAAAATGTTATCAAACATTAGGCGGCCATCGACGAACGCTCCTTGGGCTTGATTAATCAACCCCGAGAGGCACGGGGTTAATCTAGCCGCAATAATCGTAGTACATATTCGTAGTACTTCGTATTAATCACCCTTGGGTTACTCTCTTCTCTATGTTGTTAGTTTGGGTAATACATATTCGTAGTACTTCGTATTAAGTACGTATAGGACGCAGTCAAATAACTCATTACGCTAGTCTGAATTGTTTAGTTTAATTAAGTGCGAAAGGTGTCAATGAAGTACAGCTACTGCAAAATGTTTATCTT